CATGTTAAAGCTAAATTACAGAGATGTTAAAGCCACATTACAGAGATGTTATAGCCATGTTACAGATATGTTAAAGCTAAGTTACAGACATGTTAAAGCCATGTTACAGAGATGTTATAGCCATGTTACAGATATGTTAAAGCTAAGTTACAGATATATTAAAGCCATGTGACAAAGAAAGAAAAACCAGCTACTAGTGATAGTTTAGTTATGACAAACTGGAAAATGATTAACAGAGTGCAGTGGTATTAAGTATTCTTACTTAACCATGTGTAGCAAATCTTATATTAAGTAGAAAAACACACGGAGAGTTTAAACCTCACCTTGCTGCGTTTGTGTGTGTATGTATGTGTTATAAAATGTGGAGAACTATAAAGATATTTTACCACAATCCAATAAAATTGATCATTAAGTCTCACAGTTGTGTATTGTGTGTTACAAATAAGTAAATTGGATGTCATTGTTGTGCTCAGACGAATTTGAAATTTTATTGAATCTCAACATTTATAAAACATTATAGATTACAAATTAACAGAACAAATATGTAAGAAAAATTTTCATAATCATTTGTCAATTAGCTTTAAATGTAGTTGTTTGTAAATACTTAAACTTATTATTGAAACTTGCAAATTTATGGATGATTTACTTCACCAGTTTTGTTTTTAATTTAACATTACAGAGCTTGCAAGTTTTTTTAAAGATCCTAGGTATCAAAATATTTGTAGAGAATATGAATAGGTTAAATTTTGTTGAAGAGCTGCTGTATTCTTGTGTTTCTCCTAATAAGAGAGTTTTCGAAAGAAAGAGAAAAGGCTAAGGCAAGAGGAGATTTTCATAAACTTCGAGAAAAGCAACAAATAGAAGAAGATCTTCGAGGATATTTGGATTGGATTACTCAGGCTGGTTAGTCATTGGACAAATTATTTACCTATCAGAAGTTGTTTTTCTTTTCTGTTCTGTTTGAAATAAGCCCGGCATGGCCAGGTGGTTAGGGTGCTCGACTCACAATCTGCGGATTGCGGGTTCGATTCCCCGTCACACCTAACATGCTAGCCCTTTCAGCCATGGGGGCGTTATAATGTGACGGTCAATCCCACTATTCGTTAGAAGAGTGGGATTAGAGTTGGCAGTGGGTGGTGATGACTAGCTGCCTTCCCTCTATTCTTACACTGCTAAATTAGGGATGGCTAGCGCAGATAGCCCTCGTGTAGCTTTGTGCGAAATTCATAACAAACAAAGAAACAAACAATTTGAACTTTACCATTTTTTATAAGTTGGTTCAAAGCCGCAATATATGTTTTGTACAGTTGAAACCTCGAGATTGATTACAATAAAACTTTTGTTGAATAGCTGAATTTTATTCCTATGATGTATGATAAATTTTATTTTTTGTGTGTAGATGAATTACTGCACCAATTAGAATTTTACAGTTGTTATAATCTAACATTTTAACCCTTTTGTAAATAAAATACACTGAAATGAGAAGAATAGCAAAGTATTACTTATAATGTTCTTGGATATTGAACAAATGCACTTAAGAAGAGTAGTCTTCCAGTTTTGTACTAGTAAATGTAGGTATCGGGAGTGATAAAACATGAAATAAAAACACTGAATATGCAGCAGAATTTTGTTTTTGTCAAATGAAACCAAAGTGTTTTATGTAGAAAAGTTATTTAATTTTAGGTTGTAGTTTATATAATATTTATAGTTACTAGTAACAGTTTAGCTTAAGCTTTCAAAGCTTGGTATGTAGCTAACTTTAATATGATATTTGCTGAGGTCAGTATGGTATGTAGTTGAGTTCAATATAGTATGTAGTTTAGGTTAATAACTTCTGAACTTTAGACAAGTAATAATTTATTGTTGCCTTGCATTATTATAATTAAGTAAAGAATCTTTTACTGGAAAAGGAATGAATTAACATAGTTAATGATATAAACACTCACAGCTGATTCAACATCTGGTGTAAATATTGTAAGTAAAGAACCAGTTATTAAAAACACAGTTGATGATATAAACACTCACAGCTGATTCAACATCTGGTGTAAATATTGTAAGTAAAGAACCAGTTATTAAAAACATAGTTAATGATATAAACACTCACAGCTGATTCAACATCTGGTGTAAATATTGTAAGTAAAGAACCAGTTATCAAAAAAATACATGAATAATACGGACATGAGCTGGTTCAGCATCCAGTACATCTCCATCCATTGAATGAATTGTTATGTATCAGACATTTTGTTTTATAAATATTTTTGATGTATTGAAACACACGTTTTTGTAAATTTATATCTATGTATTTTTTTTTACTCAATGCGCTATCAATTTTAATTTGAATAATGAAAAGTAAAGTCACATTTTCATTAAAACTTCACTTATGGAGTATTCAAGCCCTTTATAACTCACCATCTACTAACTGAAATTGATTTGGGTGTCTTAGTAATATTATGGCATAGTGACTAATTTGGTATTCGGTATTATAAAATGGACTAACTTTACTGTATATTTACATATTTTTACTATATATATATATATATTTAGATTTACATATTTTTACTGTATATTTACATATTTTTACTATATATATATATTTAGATTTACATATTTTTACTGTATATTTACATATTTTTACTATATATATATTTAGATTTACATATTTTTACTGTATATATATTTAGATTTACATATTTTTACTGTATATTTACATATTTTTACTGTATATTTACATATTTTTACTGTATATATTTATAGAGGATATAGAACCAGATGATAAGGAAGAAAGTGAAGATTCAAGGCATGGTAAATAATTTTATTGTTGCCCATTTCTGATAATTAAAGTAATAATTGTGTATAAACAAGCAACAGCAAAAATTCAAACAGCGCAGATAGCCCTCGTGTAGCTTTGCGCGAAATTAAAAAACAAACAATCAAAGCTTCTCTAATATGAAGGAAATGTAGTTGCTTTTGTTGCTGTATTTATTGGTTCTCGTATTTTGTGTCAAAAGTTTCCAAAAGAGCATATTTTTTCTTAGTAAATAACTTATAGAGAAACCTGTGTAAGAAAAAGTAAATAAGGAACGTAATTTTATTGAGGCAAGTGATCTTTACATATGTTGTATATTTAATGGATACACATTTGTTTATATTTAAAAACAAAACAAAATGCTTATTGTGGTCCATAGAACAGTAGGCAGTTTGTAATGAAATGTTTTTATATCTATACAGATGTTTATGTAACCAAGGAGAATGATGTAGATGCTGGAGATAAAGTAGAAGGGGAAAGAACCAGTGTTGAAAATCTAAAATCTGCTACTTGGTGGGCAACTAAAAGGTTTGTACCTTCAAAGAAGTATCGGTGACTAGATTAAAACAGTGAATGCAAAATATATTACAGTACATATGGATGTTTGGATGAAAAGTGAAAACAATAAATTAATATATAACTAATTTTTAAAGTGAGCTAACTTGTGCTATAAATTTTCGTGTGTTTACTCATTTCTGTCCCAGATAATTCCAGGTGGTATCGAACATCTATCTAACTGTGACTAAATTTGAGATGGCTCTTTAAATATTTTTCTTACTTTCTAGCTGAGAATGTTACAGCCACTAATCGCTTATACTTTGAAATAATACACTGTATGCATTAGGTTGACAGCAAGATATGGTAAGTTCTAAAATAAAAATTTTATTTACTGATAACTAGATCATCAGTTACAATATCATCATATGGATTAAACTACGTACTTAGACGGAAACTAATAGTTAAGCTGGCCTAGTCAATTAAATATACTTTTTTTACATATTTACTTCTAAAGATTAGAATGCATTATTTCATCAGGTGTGCACTCCTGCTGTTAGTGATATTTATGGCCATAATTCCAATAATATCTCACGAGGTTCAGCCAGCGTAGGATATTATGTTAGTCTTAAATACAGTAAAGATTCTAGGCTAACAATGTAAAACAACTTTTTACAATAAAATATAACAATAACTGGCAATTGAAAATTAAAAGTAATCACATTTGAGATACTAACTAATATAACCAGTATTATTAATGAAAGCAACAACAGATAAACAAAATAGCATACGTTACTTAAGGAACACACAAACACTATATCTTGTTTCGAACTGTAGTCGTTGATGTATGTGTGTTTGGAATGTGATGCAGAGTTACAGTCTGTGATGGGTTTCAAACATGAATATGTGAATAATTGTGTGTGTGTTTTAGGATTCATAAATCCTACTGACACATATTTCAGAATAATGACTTTCTGCTAATAAATATTTTTTAGATTACTGACGAGAAAGTAAGAACTTGCCTGTGCATATCTTAGCTCTAATGTTTTAAATGTTGAATTTGTTGTTTTAGGTAACAGTAAATTGGAATTTAAACTTGATTTTTTAAAATTTCAGTAAGCAGTTTGCGAAGCAGAACAGGAGACTGAGAAGAGCTTGTCGAAAGGGAGTGAAATCGCAGGCCTTCTACTGGATTGTCATTATTCTAGTTTTCTTCAACACCTTTACACTGGCTTCAGAACACTACCAACAACCAGCATGGCTTGATCATTTCCAAGGTCCTGAAAACCTGTGTTATATATCTTCTGTACAGAACTAGAACTAATCGAAGAATACAGATATCTGTGTTAATATATCTTCAGTACAGAACTAGAACTAATCGAAGAATACAGATATCTGTGTTAATATATCTTCTGTACAGAACCAACCGAAGAATACAGATATCTGTGTTAATATATCTTCTGTATAGAACTAACTGAAGAATGCAGATAGCTGTGTTAATATATCTTCTGTACAGAACTAGAACTAACTGAAGAATACAAATATCTGTGTTAATATACCTTCTGTACAGAACTAACTGAAGAATACAGATATCTGTGTTAATATATCTTCTGTATAGAACTAACTGAAGAACATAGATATCTAACACCTGTGTTGATATGTCTTCTGTATAGAACTAACTGAAGAACATAGATATCTAACACCTGTGTTGATATATCTTCTGTATAGTACTAACTGAAGAACATAGATATTTAACACCTGTGTTGATATATCTTCTGTATAGAACTAACTGAAGAACATAGATATCTAACACCTGTGTTAATATATCTTCTGTATAGAACTAACTGAAGAACATAGATATCTAACACCTGTATTAATATATCTTCTGTATAGTACTAACTGAAGAACATAGATATTTAACACCTGTGTTGATATATCTTCTGTATAGAACTAACTGAAGAACATAGATATCTAACACCTGTGTTGATATAACTTCTGTATAGAACTAACTGAAGAATATAGATATATATTAACACAAATTGTTATAGTATGAACTGGATTGTAAATATCATTTCTAATTCTGACTTGGAAACAACTGTTATGGTGTAAACTGGGTTGTTAATTTCTAATTCTGGTTTTTGCCTCGAATCTACACAGACGTTTTTAATGTTACTTGTGTTTTTCAGTTTTATTACAAATGATTGTAACACTTAGTCCAGAATCTCCAGCAAATCATTACAGGTTTGAGAATCCTACATCAGCATCAGATAATAAAACAAAGATTAGGCTTATGAATGAAATTTGGAGTTAATGTAGAATACTGAAACATGATGACATCAACATGATGACATCAAGATCATCGGTAGTGAAACTGAGGAAATAGATGTTTTTTTTATTAAATATGAAAGATAGTGTATGTATTTTACCCAGTTTTATAAAGACGTAGAGTTAATGTAGAATACTGAAACATGATGACATCAAGATGGTGACATCAACATGGTGACATCAAGATCATCGGTAGTGAAACTGAGGAAATAGATGTTTTTTTTTATTAAATATGAAAGATAGTGTATGTATTTTACCCAGTTTTATAAAGACGTAGAGTTAATGTAGAATACTGAAACATGATGACATCAAGATGGTGACATCAACATGGTGACATCAAGATCATCGGTAGTGAAACTGAGGAAATAGATGTTTTTTTTTTATTAAATATGAAAGATAGTGTATGTATTTTACCCAGTTTTATAAAGACGTAGAACATGTACAATATTTTTTTTAAAGTTTCCGTAGAACTATATTGGTTGAATACAAATATGTACAGGTAAAACTTTTGGTTTAGTATATTTTATTTCCTACATTAAAATTGGCTGATTAATAATCTTTAAGTTTTGGCTCCTTTTGAATTGTTTATAGATTACTGTGTTTCAAAACAATTTAGATCCTCAGTCTATTTTTTATGTTTGTTAACTACTTTCTCTTTATTTTAATTTCAGAGGTTTCCAACATGTTTTTTGTGGTGCTGTTTAGTGTAGAAATGCTTCTGAAGATGTATAGCTTGGGCTTTCAAGGCTACTTTGTCTCCCTTTTCAACCGTTTCGACTGCTTCGTGGTGATAAGCTCAATCATGGAGATGGTTTTAACGTACACTGACGTCATGCCACCTCTGGGAGTTTCTGTATTGAGATGTGTTAGGCTATTGAGAATCTTCAAAGTGACCAAGTAAAAGTTTTTACCTTTGTTATACGCACAAACTGGAGTTTATTACAAGACATTTCTATTAAAGTAAATAAAATAACGACCTATATCTCCAATTTAGGTTTAACTGGATTAATGAACTTGTAGGATATCGGTATCTCCTGATAAAGGTGTAATAGTTAAATATTGAGTTAATAAAGATACATTCTGGATATATAGGTTGCTGTTTCATTTCCCTTAAGAGTTTTTATTGTTTCTCTCCTAAATTTTCTCTTCTTAAATAAAGTTGAATTCTGATTTTTGATTGAGACTTTCATTAATGTATTCTTTTTGTGTTGTTAGAAGAAATAAAATTAGTTTCTTTTTCAAGATTTTATAGTTTTGTACATCAGTGGCCTATTAATTTTATTGTCAGTTTTACAATAAAAATACTGTAAATATGTGCTATCATTGTTAATCAGAAATTACACTGAATATTAATTAACTTGTAATCAGTACAAGCTATCTACTTAAATCAAACTAAGAAATCAATCTGGTAATGAGTACAGCTAATGAAGTATACTTTTCTTTCGTATTTTACATTAAGTTTTTAAAGAAAATTTAATTTAAGAATATTATACTAAGTTCTTACACTTTAAAAAATATTACGTTCTTACTTACAAATAATATTAGTTTCAAGTGGTGTGAGTAACCAGGAGTTAAGAAAAAAAAGAGCTAATAGATAGTAAAATTATGTTAATATATGCCATCATTGTTAATTAGGAACTATTTTGAATATTAAGCTTATGTGGTTTAAGAAACCAGGAGTCAAAAACAAAGCTAATAACTAGTAAAATACCATTACAACCCAAGCATTCTACCAGCATGTTTAACTGTATAAATGATTTAACTAGTGATTGTATATAATTTGTTTATTTGTTTTGAATTTCACACAAAACTACTAGAAAGATATGTGTACTAGTACTAGCCGTCCCTAATTTTGAAATGGTAGTCTAGAGGGAAGGCAGCTAGTCAACACCACTCACCATCAACTTTTGGGCTACTCTTTTACCAGTGAATAGTGGGATTAACTGTCATATTATAATGCCCCCATAGCTGAAAGTACAAGCATGTTTGGGAACAAGATTTGAATCTGTAAGATTGTGAGTCAAGTGCCTCAACCACCAGGCCATGCTGGACTAACTATAGATAGTAAAAATAAAAGAGAAATTAAAATATTCTGTAGAAATCTTAAAAAACTAAAAAAAAAAATACTAATTGTACAAGCTTGTGTGAAAACGTAGATTGGTAAAGGAAGAACATTATTGTCTTTCATTATTCATCAACATTTTAAAAATGTGAAATTTTACTTGTAGAAATTGGACATACATAAGTTAATTTAACAATTAAAAAGAGTAGTATTAATAAAGTTTTTTAAATTGAATAGTAGAAATTTAAGAAACTTATCACACTATTGCAGGAACCCATGAAATGGCTTTTGAGTACCATTTTAAGCTTGAATTGTTTTGCCCCCCCTCCCTCCCAGTGGGTCAATGGTGTAAGTTTATCGACTTATGATGCTAAAATCAGGGTTTTGATTCCCCCACAGCCCACAGGCCTCCCAGTGGTAAGTCTGAAGGCTTATGATGAACACAACACCGAAAACCCATTATCTAGCTTTCTGCTTAACGTAAAAGAAAGAAACAAACAAGATCATTTACCCGTGGCGGACAGAGTGTAGATAGCCCCATGTGTAGCTTTGTGCTAAAAAACAACAACAACAGAGCATTTTGTTATAAGTCCTGTTTTTGACTTGTTAGCAAGATGCTAATTTAAAATTTTTATTACATTTGTAAATAATATTTTCTGAGTTTTAAACGGCCTAGCATAAATGAACAACTGAATTTTTTATTGTAATGTTTTCAAGTAGAGTTGGTATATTTCTAAAATATTCTTGTTATTACTTTAGTCACTAATGTTTATATGAATAACCAGCTAATTCTTGTGTTTAGATACTGGGCCTCTTTAAGAAACCTGGTAGCATCCCTCATCAACTCCATGCGTTCCATTGCAAGTTTATTGTTGCTCCTGTTCCTATTCATCGTCATCTTTGCACTCTTGGGTATGCAGGTTTTTGGCGGAAAGTTTAACTTTGCAGAAACAGAGGAGAAACCACGCAGCAATTTTGATTCCTTTTGGCAGTCATTGCTTACGGTATTTCAGGTAAAGTTCAGCTTTTGCATACGGATTATCACGTTATTTGTGAAAATGTGCCAGACTAAAACCTTGTCCATTGTAAAAGTTTTGGACTGGTTTCATGAATTACTTTAATCCATCCACTGTTGGTTAGATATCTTGGTGTACATTTTAAACAACACATATAATAAAACAAATCCATCATCATTTAAACTCTTGTCACTAGTATTTTAAACTAAACTTTGGAAACCAACCTTTACTTTATTTTGTTTTATCTATTGTGATATAAATGTTCATCTGCTTTATTTCTTGTTATACTTATACATATTCTGTATGCGTTCAAAGTGTATCCATTTGTACAATTTATATCTATATAGGGCCAGGTGGGACCTAATTCTGCAAGCCAGACTGTGAAATCAAGGGTTCATATCCTGTTGCTGCAACATTGTGCTTTTCATTTTAGGACCACTAGTTAATCATAAGTGTGATGGTCAAATCCCACTATTAAAATAACCAAAGAGTTGGCAGTGGGTGCTGTTGGCTAGCTTCTGTCTAGTTTATCAGCTCAAACTTAGGGGCGGTTATTATAGATAGCCTTATGCAGTTTTGTTTGACTCTCTGAAACAAACACAAAAAATCTATATATTTATGATTATTTCAGAAACAGTATTTTTTGAAATAAATTTTTATATATACATTCAAAAGTTCATATATAGATTAGAGAAACGATTGGAAAAATGACTCTCTGAGCTTCTCCTAGATCAGACTTACAGCTATTCTAATTTACAATTGTTAAATTCTCCCCACTCAAGTCAACCCATGTTTTAATCACAGACAGCTTTGATTCATACAGTTTTTACTGCCTCAGCAATGTGCAAAAACTATCCCAAGCTACAAATAACTATCGGCATAATTATTTTCTTTGAACCTTTCTGTACCCTAAATAAATTTGATATTTCAGTTAGTTTTATTAAAACTTCTTATGTGTTGTATTCATTTTATAAAAAAACAAAACAGGATTATTATTTTATTTGAAAATTTGAATGTAACTTGTATTAATTATATGTTTATTTCTTTAAGTAATAATAATATAACTTTTTTTAAAAATAAAAATCAAGTTGATAGCCTAGTTTTTTTTAATACACTAGTAAATTCATTTATTTATCTTTGCATATTTTTTTCGAAAATGTTTTTTTAGATTCTCACTGGTGAAGACTGGAATGTTGTGATGTATCATGGTATTAATGCATATGGTGGGGTTAGCTCTATTGGTATTCTGGCTTGCATATATTTCATAATTCTTTTCATTTGTGGTAACTGTATCCTTTCTTGTTCAAAAAAGATTCTCTGACAGTTCATTCATAATTTAGTGGTGATTTAAACTAATTCATGTTTTTTACTTGATCTTGTACTTTGTTGTGCACTTTGATGGTGAGGAAATATAAAATAGGATAGGATAATACAATCACAATGAATTAGATTTTAAGTGCAAAATAAATAATTATATCATAACTAATTAGGTTTTAAGTGAAAAATAAATATTAGATAATAATTAATTAATTTTTAAGTGTAAGATATATAATTAATATATCATAATGAATCAGATTTTAAGTATAAGATATATAATTAATATATCATAATGAATCAGATTTTAAATGTATAAATAGATAATTAATATATCATAATGATTAGATTTTAAGTGTAAGATATATAATTAATATATCACAATGAATTAGATTTTAAATGTAAAATATATAATTAATATATCATAATGAATCAGATTTTAAGTATAAGGTATATAATTAATATATCATAATGAATCAGATTTTAAGTATAAGATATATAATTAATATATCATAATGAATCAGATTTTAAGTATAAGATATATAATTAATGTATCATAATGAATCAGATTTTAAGTATAAGATATATAATTAATATATCATAATGAATCAGATTTTAAGTGTAAGATATATAATTAATATATCATAATGAATCAGATTTTAAGTACAAGATATATAGTTAATACATCATAATGAATCAGATTTTAAGTGTAAGATATATAATTAATATATCATAAGGAATCAGATTTTAAGTGTAAGATATATTTTAAGTGTTAACATATATTGAATTCAATCTCAAGAGTAAAATGTATATGCTGAAATAGATTTCATAATTCAACATTCATTCCCCCTAGTGGCTCAGCAATGAGTCTATGGGCTTCCTTAAAATTGAGTTTCGATTCCTATGGTGGGCAGAAAAGATAATTCTTTGTTTTATTTTGTGCTTAACAACAAAACAAACAAAAACCAATAATTCTGTTTTTCTTTGGTAGAAGCACAAACTTTTCTTAATGAATTGTTCAGACATTCTGTTAAACGTATTCTTGGCTATTGCTGTGGACAACTTGGCTGATGCAGAAAGTCTGACTGCAATTGATAAGGTAGCTTTTCAAAACAAAATTAACTTTTTTTGCTACTTTTCATGAAAAATATGACAAACTTGTGTTAACTAGATATATATGTATGTATCAAGTCATCTCGTAATTAACACAAATCAATATTTTTGTACTCAGAACTGTTTACATATGAAAATTTAGTTTTTTTAAATCCATGTAATCTAATTATTTGAACAATAAATCATATTTGAATACACCATATCATTTCAATCTAATTGTTGCAAAATCACAAAATTACACAGAATTGTAAGTACGTATAGAAATTAAACAACTAACACAACTTCAAGTTAGTTATTGAAATATACATGACTATCCAGTTAACGCAGTTTAGATTTAGTTGTTTTAAATATACATAAATACACAATTTCAAATTAGTTGCAGAAATGTGCATGAATACACGATTAATACAATTAAAATTCAATTTTTTAGATTACATTAAGACAAATTTAACACAGTTTCAAGTCATTTACATAATAGAACATGAATAGACGATATCGTTTCATATTTGACTATATATAAAAAAGATAATGGAATTGTAGAATAGAGTTTGTTGTTATATTTCTATGAAGGAAGATGAGGGGGAAGGAGCTGAAGAGCAGGTAGAGGATGTTGTTGAGAGTAAAGAGGCAGAAGAAGAAAAGCCAGTAGAAAAGAAGAAGAGAAAAAAGAGAAAGAGGAAGAAAAAGAAAAAATTGATAGATGAAGAAGTAGACAAAGAAGAGATGGAACAACTTGATAAAGTTGACACTTTGCAACTGAACCATGCTCCTCACATCAGAGCGTATGTTCTCATTACTTACCTGCTTTTGTATAAAACGTTCTTTTTATTCACAAAGGTTGTAAAATGTTTGGGTCACAATAACAAATTCTGATTCAAACTGATTTGATCTACATGGCTGAAATTGTAGGTACTCAATAAATGGGGGGAAAGCAAACTCAGGTACGAAACGTTTATGAAATTCTTACATTTTATAAATCATCTATATAATCTGTAGAGTTTGGTTACGTCAGTATTATATATATGTACGTTAGAGAGAGGGAAAGAGGATTGATTCCAAAACATTTGAGGGAAATATTCAAGATGCACTTAGAGTTGTTATTTGGCTTAAATCAAAACGATACCAAGATTTTATATCCTACATCTTCTCCGTGACGTTATCTGTGAATACACAGTCAAGGTCGTTTGTTGATGAGTGTACAGTTAAATGTCTCATTAAAATTTGTGAGCAGTTTATGCTCATTCCCGATTTGTTTTTAAATCTTCGTGGATAATATGATCTTTCGTTTCTCTTCTTCACTTGTCTTTTCGTATAAATAGATTAGAAAAATATCTATATCACATAAATGTATGCTACGAGATTGTTTGTAGATTGCATAATTTGTTTTCTGTAACTATAATGATAAACCGTAACATTTGCTTGTCATGAACAATTAAATAGCGACATTACTTGTGATTTTAGTAACTTCTACTTGCTGGTAATAAACATAAATATTAAATTCTACACGTAACAAAAATTGACAACAAATAGTTTTAAAATGAAGAATTATATTCTTTTAAGAGTAATTAATTATTTCTTGAAATTATTGCATTTTATTCATAAAATTGTGTGTGATGTATTCAGAAATACAAAATATAATTCCTATTTTTTGTCCTTTTTTGTATATTTTATATAAACCTGTTTATCGAAACACATTTTTTTCTACCTTAATGTTGTAAATACAGATCTATAATTTATGTCCTTAAGAAATATTGATCTATAAATACATATTGCATATAAAATGTTTCTATAATTATTATTACTAAAAGTTGATTTGGCAGAATAAGTTAGTAAGTTTCAAAATAATTCATTATCTTCAAAGTGCTTTCATATATTTTTTTTAAATTATAAATAAATGATTAAAAACATCATTTTAAATTTGCACAATAAAAATTTTATTGAAGCCGTACGGCTTCCACTTTAAAATATCGCTTTACAAGTACGTGTTTCGACGTGATCTACGTCATCCGCAGGAGTAGCTTACAAGACCAGTAATACGATAAGGGGGAAAGTATAAAATAGTCTTGTAAGTTACTCCTGAGGATGACGTAGATCACGTCGAAACACGTACTTGTAAAGCGATATTTTAAAGTGGAAGCCGTACGGCTTC